TTTTAAAGAGTAAATGAGAAAATTAGCTCTTAAACTATACATTTAGAATTGAGATTCTAAACTTATCTTTTATATAATATTTCTTTTAATTTTTTAAAAACGGTGCAATTTAACCATTGTCGTTAATTAAAGTTAACTTTAACTGTTAGTTGACTAGAAAATGACAAAAGAGGCCTCAAAAATTACAAAAAAAAAAAAGACTCAAAAAATACAAGCATTGATTCAAAACATTACAAAAAAGGACCAAAAGTTATTTTTTATTTAACTAACTATCAACATTAACTTTTGTTAATGGCATTATTTTTAAAAGTTGAAGAAGAATATTGTATAAAAGATGAATTTAAGATCTTGGACACTTTTAAACCTATCATTTAGGGCCAATTTACTCATTTACTTCCTCATCACAATCAAGAAAATATAGTTAAGTCATTATTAATTTTATTTAAAAATAGAATCAATTTCTAATTTTAATTTACACAAATTTAAATAATTTTTTAAAATTTACATTACATTCTCTAACATAAATAATAATTTAAACATGGGTAATATAAAAAAAAAATAATGACCATTCATCTATTCTAGAATGTTTCTTATAGTAGGAATATGAGAGAGTAAGTGTGTGTGTATAAATAGAGAGAGAGAGAGAGAGAGAGAGCGCGCGCGCTATATACCCATATATTGTGGGAGGGTTCAAATTAAGTGGATCCAATGTAAATCCAAACATTTATAGGACAATAGGATTTATTTCCCTAGAAAACTATAGTGAAGCAAACGGTAGCTAGAATCATCAAGTGCAATCCAGTCTCTTGGCCACTAGCTTCCATAATCCAATCTAACATGCTACACTCGTGCATTCGATAACCAAAGCAAAAAAGCCACAAAAGAAGAAGAAAAGATCCAATTTTTCGTTTTTCTTTTTTCTTTTTTAAAAAATGAGAAATAAATTATATCACCCAATAATTATTTGTATAATAATGTAAATTATTAGCAAGGCAGTACACAAATTTCTTTTCTTTTCTTTTTTGGGGGTTTGGATGAGAGTGGAGGGCACAAGCGCCAAATGCTCAAAATACTATGATGAGGTTTTCTCTTTAGGTTGCAGCTTCACCAAAGTGACTAAAATTCAGGGATATCCCTTCACTCACTTTTCAATATTCTATGTTTCACTGTTCATTGCTTTCTGCTTTTGTTCCTTTTAATGGCACTAATACTCTTCCTTTTGCTTCTTCAACATCATACATTCTTACTTATATTCATTTTAGATTATTATAAACTCTGCCCTAATATTTTGTTTTGGTTTCATATAAATTGGAAATGCTTTTCCATTGCATCAATTTCATTCTTAATTTCATTCTTCATAGTCAGCATATTTTTTGATTCAATATAACAGTAGTTGAGTCGAATAAAAAGGATTTAATTTATTTTAAGTGAAGTCAAAGTTTCAAATCTTATAAATAAATAAAAATCATATTAGAATACATATCTCATTTGAACTTGGCAATGCTTAAATTTTATCAGTAGTATCGAATATTAGATAATTTGATAAGAAATTTTTCAATTTCATCACTTGTAAATATATTTGTCTAAGTCAAAAATTAGGATTTTATAGAGGAAGAAAATAATCATGTTAAGAAAAGCTATCTCAATTAAACTTGATAATATTCAAATCTAAGATATATTACACAATATTAAGTATTTGTACTAAAAAAGAAAAATATTTTTTTAAATTTCATTCCTCGTAAAAATTTGTCTAATAAGTCACGTTAGGAGACAAATTTCTTATTGGATTCAATGATTCTCAAATCAGCATATATTCTTTTAAAAGTGAACTGAATGAATTGACGTAAACTTGACCAACCCAATTTAAATTAAGAATTGAACCAAAAATTTAAAAATAAAATAAAAATAAATAAAATGATATGAATTTCTTTGAGTCACTTTTTTTTTCTCTGCAAATGGCTTTCGGTGAGCACTAGGAAAGGCATTAATGGTAGTGGACACAAATCTCACTAGAATACTCTGTGCAGAGATCTTCTTTTGTGCACTATTTCTTATGCAAGTGCTGTGGATCAATGCAGATTTTAGAACCACATTTTGAACCCACAAATTATTAAAAACCATTTGCAAAATAGATATGGATTAAACAAAGTCAAAGAAAGATTTGGTATGATCGTTATTGGTATAGGTCTGCAAAATCCACAAAATATCTATTAGATATTCTGCAGCTTTGTGCCATTGAGATTGGAGTGCTTTCAACAATAATTTCAACAATAATTACAGGATACACTGCACACAACACACACATTAGGAATTAGTTGAGTTGGGGGAGATCATGCTATTTGAGCTACAATTTATTGGCAAGTACTTGAATTAGTTGAGTTGTTATGATTCTAAAAATTTAAAAAAAAAATCATTTTTAGACACAAGAAGTATACTCCACCAATAGAGTGGTTGAGCCATCAAGCGTTTAATTTAACTCATTAAGAAGTTGTACTAGTTTAATTAAAGGTTTTGAGTTCAAGTCCAAGAAATAAAGCAATGTTAAATTCTCGACGGAGGAGCTTGCTGCTTGAAGGGTTTTCCAAATGCTCAGTCCGGATTAATTTAATTTCATTAAGTCCCTAGAGCTTGAGTCAAACAGACCTAGAATAATAGAAACTTAACTAGTGTTGCCCAATAACAATTCACTTTTGATGTTGGAGAACATGTGTGCTTTTATCTGTTTTTTTTTTTTAACTATGTAATTTCAATTTTGATACTAATGAGTAAATTAAGTGTTTATTTGTAATTCAAAAGTTATAATTCTAAGTTTACATTTAAACAAGTTGGTAAAAAAAAAAGTTTATAGTTAAACAAAATTTAAATTTTGCATGGTAATTAATGAATCCATAAAATTAAAGCATTTATAATAGAATTGGATATGCAGAGTAGGAGAGACAACTCGAGAGTGGAAGTGTCGTTAGGGACAAACACTCACATGCTTTTATATCCCAATTATTCACATCCAAATAGACAGGGCCAGCCAACTTAGGATTGGGGTCAAAAACAAAATATAATATAAGGGCTAAGATCTATTTTAATTCTTTTACAAGGCAAAAATATACTCTTCCATTAAAAAATATAAACATTTTTTGTAGGTTTGATGTTAAAAAATATAAGGCATTTTTTATTTTTTAAGGTGTAAATCATTGTGTTTTTTTCAAAAATACCTCTATTAAACTTTGTGTTTATTTTAAATAAAACACCCTATTAAATAAAAATTAAATATGAAAATATAAAATTAGTTAAAAGGTAAATAACTATTTTATTAAGGAATAATTCAATTAAAAATATTTATATTTTTTAAAAAAAAATAATTTCTTTTGAACACCAGTTGGTGTCTCGTTTCAACATTCATAATGGTACCCATAATTGAGCCCTAGATCCAATGAATAAGTAATATTGTTTATAATTTATAAATAACATATTTTTAGATTTATATTATATATAATACTAAGCCACAAATTGCTCAAAGCACCTTACTAAAATGTGTTCTCTCAAATTTTTCTTCAAAATTCATAATATGAAAAATTCACAGGATTGATAATTTCTTAATTTCGATCTCTTGAAATAAAAACTTTAAAAAATAATTGAAATAAAAAAAAGATACAGTACAACAGACAGTAAAAAAAAAAAAGGATCACAAACTCAAATTAAGCTCAAAAAAATTAAATCCCATAATGTAGGAGACCCACTTCTAAAAATTTAACGTTATATCATTTTCAATCAGCAATGATTACAAATCCAAGGCGGTCTCCCTCCCATCCGGGAGAGGCCCCCCTTTTCTGACTCTTTTGTTTACTCTTTTAATTTTAATCATTCATATTATTTTATTAAATAATTTTTTAATTATAAAACTAATGAATGATCAAGATAAAGGAAAAGATAAAGGAAGTAGGAGAAAAAGAAGGGGAAAAAACATAAAAACCCCTCTTCCCTGTTCACAGACACACACACCTCACATTTTTTTATTAGTCATAAAACGTATATTAAGATTTTAAAGTCTAATTTATCTAAATTTTTCTCCCGTTAAAGAAAAAATGATACAAACAACTACAAACTTATAAAAAGACACAATGAATATCCATCTACAGACACACCCAAAAGAAGGATGCTATTGTTCTCAGAGATACACAAAACATGCTGAGTATATACATAGTTGTGTTGTCATTTTACTATAATCAATTATCAATGAATTTTGTGATATTTAATTATATTATGAGAGATTTAGGTACAATCTTCCTTCTTATATTTTTCAAAACTGCACACTAGCCTGAAAATGCAAGTATCCTCTAAGGAAGAAAACCAAAACTAATCACGGTATGTATTGAAAGGGTTACAAGGAGCACATGAAAAGGAGCCTAGACATAATTTTCAATTGAGAAGAATTTAAAGTAAATACATTTTCCAACATTTTTCTTCACTTTAGATATGAATAAACACATTCCATTCATTCTCTCGGTCATTTTCCACAATCTGAACATGTCCGAATCAAAATTTCCTTTTCCTTACTTTGAATTTAATTATCCTCAATCAAAACATAACCAAAAAGAAATAATTAAGTACCATATAGAGGAAAGTATTTAGTATTTCATATACTGCACGAGACAGCATGCCGCCAAGAGTAATAAAATGCAGAAACATGAAACATCCATTCACATAAGCACAAGATCTGAGATAATTAGATAAATATGGGGGTAAAACATCTTAGAATGATTAAATTTAATGGCACCAACAAAAGCATAACTTACAGGGATTTAGATCCTTGGAAATTAGATGCCTGTAAATTGAATCTGAAAAGAACTAGAGAAAGAAAGAGGATGGGTGGAATTAGAAGCAGACACCATATACACCATTACTTATTGGGCACTCTCTTTCACTTTAGACGTACTTTAGCTTAGGAGGATTCAAAATTCAAGCTTAAAGCCAATGAATAGGAAGCTGTAACTGAGATTGTCAAATTATATCAAGCAACCATGGATAAATATTTATATATTTATTAAGTACAATGAAACAAAAGTATCCGGTAAGATCTAAAAGAACTCAAAATACATTAAGTTAAACAACACAGCCATCATGTAGACTTGTCCATGATAAAACACCAAATTACTAGAACAATGTATCACTGCGCTCTCAGGACTTCAATTTCAAATTCCAAGACAGAGTTTGGCATAATCCCCCAAGCAGGAAAACCTTGAGGACCATAAGCATAATCAGGAGAGCACTGCAAAATTATCATAAAAGTGAACTTCAAGGTTAGGTGTGTTTCAGTCACAAAATGTCCAAAGGGAGTCACAATCGAACCTAAAAGAATGCTCATGAGGACATATCGAAAAGCCCAATCTAGTTTTTTACAAGGTTAATTGATTGTCAAGGTAAGTTGAAATAGCACACCATAAAATACTGTGGAGGAAACCATAGATTTAACAAGAAGCCTGGTACAGTCAAGATCTTAACTCGAACTCAAATCAAATTTCTGCAGGGATCAATGATAGATTTGTTTGGAGGATCCTCCCCCTCCCCAAAAAAAAGAGCTCTTTATAAGCCGAAGAAAAGAAAAATAACAGCACAGAATAAATATATTACCCGCAGACGAGCAACTTCACCAACTTGCATACCCATCACACCTTCATCCCATCCTACATGAAATTGAGATAAATGAATTAGTTCTCCACATTTCAACAACTCTGCTTTGAAGATTATGTGTACATAGCGGAAGCAGCACTTATGAGAGATACATAACTACGTAAAACTTAAGAAGATGAAACGGGCATATTATATATATATGCATCACGCATGAAATTATTTGTAGAAGTAGGACTGGGAATGTAGATTGCAGAGGTGAAGTTACCTTTTATAACAGAACCTTGGCCAATCTTAAATGTGAAAGGCTGCTGCCCAGGATCCTTTGTGCTTCGCAAGAACAAGAAATATGTCAGTGCAATTTTATAATGGGAAGGACTAAAGAAACCATGGACTATGTGTTTCCCCTGTATTATTTTCCTTGCAAAAAGAAAAACTCTGAAACATGCTAAAATTAAAGTTATGGCAGCCTAACCTCCAAAATTTCTTAGAAAGGTCATTGTTTTTTCCTGCTCAGGGAAATGCATGAAATAAAACATTAGCACATTGAGAAACAGACAGACATAAGACATTCCACTACTTTCAAAATCAAGGTGATAGTAAAACACAATAAGAAAAGTTATGAAGACTGTTATCTATTAACTTCAGGAAGGACAAACACAAGCTATTTGAAAGAATACAAATTCAAGGACCATGAAACATTGCCAACCAAGGAAAGAACCATGGTATGATTTGATTCTACTGTGTTAGACATCACCTAATAGTCACACTTTCTAGTTTCAACATCAAAACCCAATTGGATCCCTAGGAAAACTCAGCTGTGTTCGATTCATCAAAAACTTGAATATTCAAGATAGCAAGAATACAAAAGCATGGACCCTGAAAGAGTTTCCCGAGATCTGGCAATGTCCACACAAACCCTAAGTGAACAGTTAAACCATGAAAAGGAGATCATATTTCAAAAAAGAAGAAGAAGAAATAGTCATTAGTTTAGCGTTCTCAGTTTAAAATAAACAAGCTGCGGGTAAGCATGCATATACACTAAAGATTCTTGCGAAGTTTAGTTGGAGACCTTAGAATCATGACAATATCACTTACTAATCCAATAGATTGGCATACTTAAATATGTTTCTGTTTGTCCATTCAAGGTTACACATTCGGTTACTATACCTCTCACAATAGGCACCACACCTGCTCCGTTGGACATAAACCTAGTATTCAAAACTTATAAACTAAGGCGTGAGCTCGGAGCAGTGTAATTAGTATACAAATGCATGATTAATTGATGGTTTGAAGAAAAACTGACATTTCTATGCAATCATTCAGAGAAGCAGATAGATTTTGACTTGGATAATTGAGGAAACATAGGAATATCAAAATAATCACCAAAAAGAAAAATTATTCGGTAAGATTAAGAAAGCTTCGTCCATTTCCTTTTCCCCCCTTGTGCTCTTTGTCAGCAACCGAACGTTTAAAAAAGGGGGCAACAGCTTAATAAGAAACCACAGAAACGTCTGAACAGTAACTCAGAGCGGCACAGGATTCTCTTCCAATCCTAGTAAATCTAAAGACAAGGAAGATTCTAGGCCTTTAGACTTAAGACGGCGAAGAGAACGAGATAGAGATCTAAATAGAGAGAGAAGCTAACCGTAACCAGTGCAATGAACAGTAACGCTCTGGCCAGCAACTGGTTTGGGACCGGTTCCAGGCCTGAGGATTTGCTTCTCCACTCCCATCTCTCGTTTTCTTCGCCTTCCCTGCGATTTCCTCTCTTCTTTCGTCTGCGATCTTCCTTCACTTCACAGTTTACACCTTCACTGCTTTCTCTATCGTGCTCATTTATGTATCCCACGTATCATGTGTGTGTCCTTTACTGCTTTAGATTTGGATCCTCAGCTCAATTAACCATAAAGAAATTGGCCGTAAAAAAAACAAAAAAAAAGACACACACACACAATTAACCATAAAGAAATATTCATTTGTTTGGCCCAAATTTTTTAAAAAAAGCGAAGAATTATTCATGTGTTAGGAGCTATGGGCCTATTTAACAGCAAGTTATGAAAATAGTTTTTTATTCTTCAAAATAAAACAATCAACAAAATATTATTTTAAAAAATAAAAAAATAAAAATATCTTTTAACTATTTTCAAATTATTATTTTAGAAAAAAAAAATGAAAAAATATATATTTTTATTATGCTTTTATTATCAAGATATGTTTTATAAAACATTAGTCTTCAGAACAATAAATAAAAATAGTTTTAAAATTTTTTTAGAGAATTACATACAAATCTTATTCAACACTCCCTCCTCCATTTAAAAATGTAAAATATTTTTTAAGAAGTTTGATGCTGGAAAATGTAAGGCATTTTTAGTCTTTCGATGTATAATCATTGCCTTTTTTTAAAAAAAATACCCCTATTGATAATAACTTTATATTTATTATAGAATATTTAAGAGGGATAGATATGAAAAGATATGGTTAATTTAAAAGTGTGTAACTACTTTATTGAAGGGTGAAATTCGATTAAAAATGTCTTACATTTTTTGATGAAGGGAATATAATTAATGACTCATAGGTCCATTGACAATTAAGCTTAAGATTTTTTAAACTCAGTTCTCAATACTTAGGAGTAATTAACTGTCTTAAGTGAGACTTTAAAATACTTCCCCCAATTTTGTTATATGAAAATAAATTAATAGAGGATCTTCATTTGTAATTGTAACTCCTCCATCAACACTATTAAGGGCTTGTTTGTTTAAAATTAAAAAATAAGTAATTTTTAAATAGTTCAGAGATTTTATAAAAAACAGAAATTATTTTATATTTAGTTACAATAATAAAAAATAATTATTTTACTTTTAAATTTTATAATATCTTTCTTGATTTTTATAAAATAATTTATTGTTATATTATTTTAAAATTTTATGATATCCTCATGTATCCCACTTCTTTAAAACACTCATTTAAAGTAACTTCTTAAAATAACAAAAAAATTTGCTTTTTTTGTATTTTGATTATTTTCAAAAGTTTAAATAAATATTATAAAAATTTATAAAATATATTTTTTTAAACATATGTTATTTGTTTTATAAGATAAGCTAAATCAAATAGGGTTCTAAATTATAATGTCATGGTTAATATCTTTTTTTTTCAATAGAAGAAATATATTAAAATCACTCAAAAAGATCTGAAATGCAAGTAAAACCAAAATAGCACATGAACTAAAAAGAGATAATAATTAGACATAATCAAAGTCTCCGGCACGATCTGATTCCAATAATAATTGCAAAAGGATTAGAGGTCTTAGAATTTAATTAGCTAAGCACACAAACCGGCAGGCCAACATTCTTTAATTGAGTATTAGAATTGAAAGGATTTAAATCCGAACGCTTTCCCTTTTATTCTGTTTTGTTTTTATTGCATGCTCATTGTTTCCTTGACCATCCTTCCCTTTTTTGTCAAGAGGTGGAAGATGCTGAAGTTAGATTTGTCTGCTGTTGTAATCTTTTGACTTAGTAATGTTTATCCAGATTATATAAAACAAATTTAAAAACCAGTATTGACCATATTCGATCATAATATCATAAATTATAAATTATGAAAAAATTAGTAAACCCTACTATTCATAACATATAAATATAATCCAACCCATTTCAAATTTGATAAAATATATGAGGCTTATACTAATGCAGTATGTGAAACACAAAAGTATTTTATACATGCAAAAAAATTATGCTACATTTAATTAAATGAAATAATATATTCAATTTATCTTTATTAACAAATTAATTTTTAAATAACAATATTTTTAGTTATTTTTATTATCATATTAAATAAAATCACAGCTCATCTTATGATTTGAAATTAGTCAAAGTATACTCATTTACTATTTGCAAGTAAAATTTGTTCATTGGATGCAAAAAATGGAAATCCTACCAAGTTTGTCTTATAGAGGCAATGACAACATAAATCAGGAGTATGAATCTGAAGAAACTGAACCAAAAAGTGAAATTGAAAAGCACTTCAATCTCTTATTAGATAAAACTACAAGCGTTATATTCCTTCTGATAAAATTGATTCAAACACTCAAATGTTTAAATAACGCCTAGAATAATGTAACATGAATCAAATAATACACAAAGATCTCACAAACACAAACAGAAATCACATGGAAGAACCCCATCCACCACCACCAGGAGTTAAAATTTGAATGATGTCTCCCGCCTGCAATTGCACTGTGTTCTTACCTCCGAGATAGATTTTCCTCTTATCTTTCCTGATAAGAAAGTTGGCCCCACGAGCACCATTTTTGCCTCCTTTAAGTCCTTTTGGAGCATGAACGCGTCTCTCTGAAAGAATGCTCAGTGTAACTGGACGCTTGAACTCCATCTCTCTCACAATCCCATTACCTCCTTTATGAAGTCCATCTCCCCCACTATTCTCTCTGATTCCAAATTTATGCAGAACCACAGCATATCTCTGCTCAAGAATCTCCAAATCAGTAATCTGAGTGTTGGTCATGTGAACCTGAACACCACTGGGCCCATCCCAGGTTGGACCAGCCCCAGCTCCACCACCAATGGTTTCATAGTAACCAAATGTGTCATCCCCAAAAGTGAGATTATTCATGCAACCCTGTGAACAAGCACAGGCTTGAAATGCTGTTAGAATGACATCAGTTATCCTTTGAGATGTGAGAACGTTACCGGCAACTACTGCAGCCTTGTCACTGGGAGAGAGGAAGGAACCTGCAGGGATGTGAATCTTTACAGGAGACAGACAACCTTGGTTGAGAGGAATATCGACATCAACCAGACAACGAAGGCTATATATTACAGCTGCAGCTGCCACCGCTTCTGGGACATTCCAATTGCCATAGACTTCTTCACTTGTCCCACTAAAGTCAAAAATTGCTTCTCCTTTATCAGAATCTACGGTGAGTTTCAAGTGAATGACAGAGCCATCATCCATGCAGTCCTCTTCTTCAACTGTTATAGTATTTCCATTGCCCAGACCAGCTGTCTGAGATCTAATCTTTGGGCCAATTGACTTGAGCATTTCTCTGACAGCCTCTTCTGCATTGAGTTGCACATATTTCATGTAATCCTGAACAGTCTCCAAACCATACTGCTCAATCAACTCACCAATAAGGTTTATTCCTCTTTGGTTTGCTGCTATCTGCGCTCGAAGATCAGATAAATTATCTTCAATTCTACGTGTTCCAGGGATCTTACATGGTGCTTCATCTGCAGAAGGAAATTTGAGTAATTTAACAATTCCTTCTTCTTGAAACACTCCTTTTTCAACAAGTTTGAATGCTTTTATAGTGGCCCCTTCTTCCCATATGAATTTTGACAAAGGAGGCATGCTTCCAGGAGTAATACCACCAATCTCTGCATGATGCCCTCTGTTTGCCACAAAGAAAATGAGCTTGCCTTTATGAAAAACAGGTGTGATCACAGTCATATCAGGAAGGTGGCTACCTCCTGCACTAGGATGGTTCGTTAACAAAACATCTCCTTCATTCAAATTGTTGCCCCAGTACTTAAAATGCCAACGAACAGTGGTAGACATAGCTCCCAAGTGCGCAGGAATGTGAGGGGCATTGGCAACTAGCCCTCCATCAGGACCAAAGAGAGCGCAAGAGAAGTCTAGCCGTTCCTTTATATTTGTAGATATAGAAGTTCTTTGTAAGGTTCTTCCCATCTGCTCAGCTATTCCCATAAATCTGTGGCTGAAAATTGAAAGTTGTACAACATCTGCAACCTTGTCTGCTACTTTGACGTTGCCAAGAGAAGAGTCAATTTCAACTTTGATGTTGCCATATTTGGTAATTGTAGCTCTCCAGTTTGGTTCTACTATCACGGTACTGTTTCCGTTCATAATGATTGCAGGGCCGTGAATGACATGACCATATCCCAGATTGTTGAGTTTGTATAGAGGAGTCTTGTGCCAGCCCAGTCCAAAGAAAACCTGATAATGACCTTCACCTGTAGGACTTCCAGAGGCAGGTCCTAAGGCCTGTGGCTTCAATATGTCGGTTACTCCTACACCATGGACTCTAATATCAGAGATCAGGATGTTCCTGTTCTGTAGATTAAATCCATATTCGCGTCGAAACAGCTTTAAAAACTCAGAAGCATAGTCGGTCGCATTTCCACCTTCAACTGCTTGTTTTACCATGATTGAGGTGTCTGTGCCTTCATACCTTAAATTCAAATATGTCTCAGTCACAATGTTTTCATCTTTGAATCCTTGCTGTTGCAACTTCTGCTTTACCTGATTTATTAACACAGATTCTCTTTGGGACACCTCTAAGAGCGACTCAACACCATATACAGCAGAATATGGCTCTTGTGCCTCTTCCACAACATTTGCCAATCCCATCCCGTATGCACTTAAGATTCCACAGAACTTATGAATCAGAATCTCTTTCATGCCCAATGCTCTAGCAATAGCACAAGCATGCTGAGGCCCAGCACCACCAAAGCAAGCAAGGGCATGGTTCCTTGTCTCATGGCCTTTCATCTCAGTCAATTGCCGTATTGGACGGCACATGGTTTCATTAGCAACATCCACAAAACCTTGTGCAATTTCTTCTATAGTCATATCTTTTGCAGATGGATCTTGATTCTTTCCATATGAATTTATCTGCCTAGCAAGCTTCTGAAATTCTTCCCTGGTTGCATTAATGTCTAGAGGCTGATCTTCATTAGGACCAAAAATGCATGGAAAATAGTCCGGAATAATATATCCTAAAATCAGATTGGCATCAGTAACTGATAATTCACCACCTTTTCTATAACACACAGGCCCAGGTTGAGCACCAACTGATTCTGGCCCTACCCTGAAAGTTCCAAACAAGAACTTCAATTTTGAACCACCGCCAGCAGCAACAGTGTTTATGTCAAGTTGTGGTGCTTGAATTATGGCACCTGCAATCTTAGTTTCAAGGACTTGTTCATATTGTCCAGCATAGCGGCTCACATCCGTAGATGTACCACCCATATCAAAGCCTATCAAGGGCTTGCTTGTTTCAAGCCCAAAAAGAGTTTGAGAGTAACCAACAACACCACCAGCAGGACCAGACAGAACTGCTTTATGGCCTGAAAATCGACTTTCTGGTGCAAGCCCTCCATCTGATTGCATAAACAGAACATTCACCTTTCCACAAGTCTCATCAAACTTTGACATGAACCCAGACAAATAATCTTTAATAACTGGACTCAAATAGGCATCCACTGTAGCTGTTAGACCCCGAGGAACTGCTCGAATCATGGGAGTCAAAGCTGCTGATAATGAAACATGCTTGAAACCCAATTTTTCAGCCAATTTGCCCACAATCAATTCATGCTGTGGGTAAGTGTAGGAATGCATCAACACAACAGCCAGACAATTGATCCCTTTCTCCAGCAAGCTTGTCAGCAAAGGCATCAGTGCTTCTTCATTGGGAGGCTTCACAATTCTGACAAGATCACCAGATATTCCCTTAACTAAGCTTGAAGAAGAGCTCTCTCTTTTTTCCTCTTTATCATGAACAAGCTCAATTCGTTCATCTACCTCTATCACTTCCTCATAGAGATTTGATGGTTTTGTCACTGTGAGGTCAAAAATGTTGGGGCGAGCCTGGTTACCAATGTAAAGCAAGTCACGGAATCCTTGAGTGACACACAACGCAATTCTTTCTCCTTTTCTCTCCAAAAGTGCATTTGTTGCCACAGTAGTACCCATCCGAATCCACTCGATTTTATCTGTTGGTATTTTTGAATTTCGAGGAATTATTTCTCCAGTATATTCTTCAAGAATCCTCCTAATTCCTTCCACTGGTGCATCATCATAGTTGTCAGGATCAACAGATAAAAGTTTTAAAACCCTACCATTGGGCTGACCAGGGATTTCAGCATAGACATCTGTGAATGTACCACCTCTGTCAATGCAGAACCTCAACTTCCCTTCATTGCAACTTCCCATCTCTAGTCACAGTCTGTTTCACGGTGTTTATATATCAGATATCAACTGAGAGGGTACGCCCTGAAATAGAAGTCATTTTAATAATTCATCATTGCAACTGTGCAAGAATTGTAATTAGGAAGTCAATACAACAGGCAATAAGCAAAAGTTTGGGGAAAAAGGAGCTGCATTCAAATTTATAGGAGTGGTACAAAATCGTGTTGTGAACAAATGAAGACTAAATCTGTTCATTAAACAGGACAAAAATAAAATATACATCCTATTTCAAAGTTCGTGATCTAATTGCCCAACAAGAACTGTACCATCATTTGAGTATTAGAAGAGAAGCAACCGTCATGTTTTTTTCTTCTTTTTTTGCTGTAGTCATCATGCAAAGATGACAACAGTTTTAGATTAATGATCCATCCACTACCTAGATAGCTCATATCTTGGTTTTCTAGGGAAAATATTGTGACTTCTTCTTTTAATGATGAAACCAAATTCTTCTGTACTGGCAATTAAGCAAACATGTGCGAATCTAAAGTCTTGGACCAAGGTTGGTAATGTGAAGAACCACTTTTGTGTCCTGAAAACCAATTTAACTTCCTTTAAAATGATATATAAGTCATAAAAAACTGAAAAGATGGTAGCCGTTCATAATCTCCAAATACAAAATCACAGAAATCGGATTTTGTGATGAACTACAGAGTTGAAAACCACAAATCCATGGTTGACCACAGTGGCAGACGTCTGTATGGTTGAGGGTGGGCAAGTGCACCCCATCAACTTGAGGAAAATTACAAGGAGGTAGGAGTTTCAAAAATTTCCCCCATTTTCCCTATATATTTTGAATCCACCAAACTCAAACTAAAATATATTTGAGTTAACAAATATTTGGGTCTTTTATATTTTAGTTAAGCCCAATAGATTTAAATTTTAAATTCATTATATTTAAATTTAGATTACTTTTATAAAAATATAATTTTAATTTTCCTTTCTAATATTTTACAAAACTAAAATCAAACTAAATAATAAATATCCCTAATAAAAATGAAGTCTGAAAATTTAAAGCATACAAAGACTGAAAGAAGACCAAAAGACAAGAAGATGGAGAGACTCTTCGCTATAGAACAAATTCTAAGATGAGAGACAGAGTGAATGGAATGACACTGTAAGAGTGTGAGAAACTGAGAGTGAGCCAGAAAATAGGTTGAAGGAGACGGAGAAATAAGAAATTTTTACCATCATTCAAAGTGGTCCCAAGTTCCAAATTTCCTCCTTTTTGACAATGAGCTAATCATCCAGTGGTTTCAAAACATGAAGCCACGTAGATAATACTTGTAAAGTATGTAAATATTTATTTTATTTTTTAATTATTTTTACATTTTATATAATTTATGCTCCCCCTAACTAAGGGTCCTACGTTTGCCACTAGTTGACCATTTCCGACAGATGGAGGGCTTAAAGTATTTGGAAAGAAATTGATGATAAGAAACATTATCATACTATTTATGTGTCCATCTCAATTTTTCATTCATACTTTAATGAACTTTCAATTTACATTCTAGTGAAAGCTAGCTTCCAAATGTAAAATTGTCACAGAGTATATTTACCAATGGACCTTGTTTAATAATGCAATCCCTTTTATTCAGAAATGCATCAAATTTAAATCATTCTACAGAAAATATAGTCTCTATGTAGAGTAAAAATAGATATCCATCTCCTCCTCGTTTTTTTTTTTTAAAGACTCCTGTTGTGACATTATGCTGGCATAATTAGGATTTCAGAGTTCTACTTTATTTGTCTGTTCTGCTCCAGAAATATTTCCCAGGTTAAATCTGTACAACTAAGTCCTAGAGCACCTTGGCCAAAAAAAAAAAGTCCTAGAGCGCCTTGAAATCTCCAGACGAACAAGTTGCAACACTTAAAATTTTACTGAAAGCAGTTAATAGCAGAAACTTTTCTGTATGTCAATATCCCAACTCCCCTTTCTAGTGTCATTCATTCGCCTATCTGAACTGCCCAAGGCAATCACGTAACACTTGCTTGAATTGACAAAACTTAGATAAAGTCCTTCAGGATTTGATATAGGTCTTTCAATAAATAAATAATATGTGGATTGACCTTTTGACAAGTTATGTGATGGAAAGATGTAAGAAAATCCACGTTTTATGTGGTTTTTTTTTTTCTTCCCTTGAAGAACCTTAAAGCAAATATATGAACAACTGCATCAGAATGTTTTTAGACATGAACGATAATTAAAAGTATATTTTGCATAACTGGTGAAGAATTTCTTCCAGAAGAATGAGTTTTAACTCTGGAAACGTCAGCTCAAATTGTAATTGTAATGTTGTTTACTGGCCAAACTAAGATGCTCAGTGCATTTCACATTAAGACATGAGCTTAACTAATGACAACAAATGATCACAATATGACACTTACAATTAAACACAGCAGATTTCACAAAGCAACTGGTCGATTTTACCGAAGCAGTATCTCCAAAACTACAAAATACAAAAGTTGAAAAGTTATCTTCTGATGAAGAAGCAAGAAGTGATGAGATTGGACTAAAGAATAACCCGTAATGCAACCCAGTGACTGAGTAATCAAAACCCATTTGATGATTTAGAAGATTATAAAAATAATCACCCAGCAATACCTTAAATTACCTTGCCGAATGTAGGAACAGCTTCAAATTGCACTACCACAATAAGATGGACAAGCAGCTTGGATCATCAAGATTCAAGACCTTTTTTTTTTTCCAAGAATGATGCAGCAATGAATAAAAATGGTGGTTTCATGAATTGAACAGTCGCTATTCTACGGAGGTCCCACCGAGCAGAACAAATTAAAGTTTTGGATAAGATAAAAACGGAAATGGAAAGTATGGTGATGAAGAAAGATGTCCAAATTCGTCGAAGCGCACGTATTACTTTCATTGCATAAGTGGCTGCTTCGAGAAGCAATTATTGAAAGGAAAATAAAAAACGCGGAAGAGGACATGATCAGTTTTTAAAATATTTGTGGAGTTGAGATTCCGAAGTTGTCGTGGCCCATAATGACATCAAATCTCACTGTGCATGACTCCAATTCGAGATTCGGGTTAAGTTCCTAGACCAGTTAAACCAAAGCCTCTCAACACAAAGTCATATAAAACTTGTTCAAACAATAAAGATGAGACGAAAACATGAAATATAGATAGAGATAAAAAAAATAAAAAATGATAATAAAATTACAACAAAATATATAAATAACAATCAAATCTCTTAAATGTCATAATTTTTTAAAATCCCTAAATATAAATTAATAATTTTAAATTAATGATTCAATTGTCCCTTGTTTAAAATAAAAATAATAAGTTTGACTTCATTTTTCAATCATAATTTTTTTTTATGAATTAAAAATTGAACAAGAAATCACAACTTTTTACATGAATTTTTTTATTTTAGAATTGATAAACAAATTTTAAAAATAACTAGTTACAATCACAACTTTTGTTTAAATAATTACAACTTTGATTTTGTGAATTGCAAAAATTAAGTAAGAAATTATAACTTTTTACATGAAATTTTTTTATTATTGAAATTCAAGTTTTAAAAATAACCAATCATAACTTTTACTGTATGAATCACAATAACTAATAAGAAATTACAACTTCTTACATAAAATTTATTTTATCATTAAAGTTCAAGTTTTGAAAATAACCTGTTACAACTTTTATATAAGCAATCACAACTTTTATTCTCTGAATCGTAAGAATTAAACAAGAAAACATAACTTTCCACATGAACCCATTATTTTTTATTTTAAACAAAGGGCAATTTAATCATTTAACTTAAAATCATTAATGCCAGAAAAATACTTAAAGATTTTAGAAAAATTATAACACTTTTTAAAGAATTGATTGTCATTTGTATATTTTTATAAGATTTTGTTGTCATTTTTCGTAAAAAATTCAATGTTGATGATGATGAGGGGCTTTGATTCCCAATCACAATATCTGTACAAATCTTATCTAATCTAGATGGGTCATGGCATTTTGTGGGAGCAGAAAAGCATAAAAGAAAGTAGAAGAAAATGGAAGAAAGGGAACTAGCAATTATTGGCACTCATTGAACTAAAACAGATTAAATGTTCATCTTATTGATTGTAAGTGCTAGGTAATGTTTTAAGACTCAGACTGATTAGAATGGTCAAACTGATTGGACCACCACCCTATAAAAAACAGCTTCGTTTGATTGAAGAGGTGGACCACTTGAAGTCAAGCAATTTCAATAGAATCATAGTTAATTCTGCAACCGGAACAGCTAGATCGCATTGAATTGTTGTTTACTCTTATTTTAATAATAAATTTTTTTATTCAATTTTAAAATATTAATGCCAACTTCCTTATGGGTTACAATGATAAATTTTAAGTGCATGGTTTGTTTATTGACATTATATGGATTAAACTATAGACAAAATTAAAAACTTATTTACTTGAAAAAACAAATAAGGTAAATAAAAAATATACATATAAAAAAATTGAAACTTAATATATCCTGGCAAAACAACTTTGAATTGCGAATGACATTCTCATTATTTTTAACATTTTTATTCACACACACATATTTGCAAATAAATATTTTTATTTAATTATTATGTCACCAATTAGATTATTAGTTCAATAGATTAAACTATAATAATCATGATTCACTGACCCTTTTAATTTATTGTCTGGTTCAATTTTTAAAATGTTAGCTCTAAGCAAATTCTCATGGGAGCAAGTTCTCTCCTAGTCCCCCCTCTTGATTCTTATCCTACCATTGTTGGATAATTAAAAAAATTAAACAAGTGCAAGATGGTGACCAAGAAGGGATTGGAGGAAAGAATCGGTTGAGTTCTCATATTTCACTTTGCTTCTTTTGAGAGCTTTGAGTGGGCCTTTTTTTAACTATAAAAAGGACGTGAGTTGAAATTTATTTTATACCTGAATTGAAATATTTTCTCTATTTAAAAATATAAAATATTTTTTAAATAGTTAGATGTTAAAAATATAAGGTATTTTTAGCCTTTCGAGGTGTAATCATTGCCTTTTTTAAAGTGTCCCTATTAATAATAAATTTATATTTATTGTAAGGTATTTAATAGGGATAAATATAAAAAGATAGAGTTAGTTGAAAAGTAGATAACTACTTTATTGGAGGGTGAGATTTGATTAAAAATGCTTTATATTTTTGAAAGGAGGGAGTGCTAATTAGTTATATTTTTAATTAATTATTTTTAAATTAGGAATAGATAATCTAAAATCCTTTTAAATTAACGTCTTTAGAAATTGATTTTTTTAATTTAAATGCTTCTTTCGTCCTTTTTAGTTTTTATAAATTACTTCCAATATTATCATTAGAATGAAGGAGAATTTGGCGACTAATCATTAATTTTGACTAAAAATTAAATAAATTTTTAATTTTACCTTCATTTATAATTTTTAAAAAATAAATCAATATAAAATAAGATTAACATGATAAAAATGCAATAAATATCTTATATGCATGATACTCACTAAAATGTTATCTATAAATTACTTTTAATATATTTTATTAAAATTAAAAAAAGTATTAAAATTCGTTAATTATGTCTAAAAGTTTAACAAATTTTTAGCTTTGATAATATTAAATATATATATTTTAATAATGTACTTTCCCTCACTAATATTTAATAAAAAATAAAAATTATTGATAAAAATTTAATGATATAATTTATAAATAAAATAAAAAAGAATTCATTTTTCTTTTAGCTTATGAATTAATCTAGGGAAATATCTTGTAATTTTACATATAACATAAATAATTCTTTGCACTTCAAAAAACATCAAGTGGCTGTAGTTTAGTGGTAAGAATTCCACGTTGTGGCCGTGGAGACCTGGGCTCGAATCCCAGCAGCCACATCAACTTTTAGCTTTTGCTAATGAGTTCTGACGATGAAACTTCAAGCCCAACGACGACGTTTGTCATCTGGTCAGTGTCAGCGACCGGCGACCGGCCACGATAACTATAAGCTTCACACAAGTTGATTACATTTCGCTGTTCCAGTCTTCCAGATTCAGAAGATCCGAGAAAATCCTCAAACCCCAATCTGACATTCTCGGTAATCCTCAACTTGTTTGTTGCTTTCATATTTTTTATTCCCTTCTTTGGGTAGCCTGTTTCTATTCTCAATATTTGCCATCGACGCCAAGGGATTTTTTTTTTTTTTTTGAATTTTGTGATTTAGGTTCTGATTGGACCTTGCTTCATCTTCATTCATTTGAAGCCAGTTTCTACAATCTTTTCTTTTCGGAACTAAGACCACGCCCAGTGTTATTATTTTGAATCCTTCAAGTTTTAGGTCTTGACATATATTTGCAACTCATTTATTGTCCCCGGTCAGAAATTCATTTGTATTAAAGCTCTTAGCTGAAGTATTATAGATAACTGTATGATAAGGATTATTTATGTTATTTTTAATTGAGGTATTTAAATTTGTCACGGGAGCTTATTAAGATGATTGGTACATTTTAATTAAGTAAATATTTTTGGTGTTCTCCAGGAAGTAAGAGATGATTGACGATCAAGACTTGGGTTTTATTGCCAATTTTCTTGGCATTTTCATTTTTGGTCTGGTTATAATACACCATTTGGTCACAGCCGACCCAAAATATGAAGGCAACTAGGTATTTTCATTTTTGTGATGCACTGAAGTCAGAAGTTGGATTTGGTTTTGTTGACTGATCTGTTATTCTGTTAGATCGATTTGTGTAACTTAATCATGATGGAATGATAGTTTGTGACTCCTGCCAACTTATTTTACAATTTTGGAGACATGTTTTCTATAGAAGCAACCTTTTCATCATTTCATCCCAATCTTAGTTAATAAGGTGAGTGTTTACATCTATAAAGCATTGGTCAGAAAAAGAGCCCTGTTTCTGTTGTCGCGTATGAGCCAGTTGTATTCAACATGCAATGAAACTATGCAACTTTTTGAATTCGGTACATTGCCATGAAATATTGTTGTTAGTGTTGTGTTATTTCCTATATCCATATATCCATGCTCCCTTGTTCCTAGGTTTAGATTAACTAAGAATGTAAAGTAACCATTTCCCTGCCCAATATGCTTATATAATGTTTAGATTAACTTAGAATGTGTAGTATTAGATAGCCCTGCATAACATACTAAGTACTAAGGAGTTCTAGCTATTTTTGTGTTTGAGTCCAAGCCTTATCTTATATACTGCTCCTTAAAACTAAACTTCAGCTCAGCTCTTCAACTAGACTTGACTTCAATATGACTTGTTCAATAGATGAGCTAACCTCACCATGAATTGCAGGATGATAGATGTTTATAATTCGGATAGAAGAGAGAAGATAGGTAAAGAGGGAGAGGAAGAGGGATCAAGAGACAAGAAGGGGTTTAGAGGAGAGAAGAACAGAGAAGAATCCAAGAGAGAACAGAACAGAGGAGGTTTAATCTGAATAGTATGCTGAGTATTATTATTCAAGTCACAAACTGAATTTACGAGTAGGTATCTATTTGTAGTCTTAATATCTAACTAACTTTACAACGTCTTTCTCTGTCACTTACGTTTATTATGATTATACATCATAGGAACTGGGAGTTGGATTAACTGTGAAAATTTGATATGATAGAGGGCTGGAAGTATGAATAAAACATCTATAACCAATCATTCCTATTCATATAAAACACGAGAAATCTTGATTTCTATAATTGGTTAGAGCACTTTAGAAAGTCACCCTTGATAGCATTGGCATTTATCGTTTCACTCCATTTCACTATCTACTGATTTGTCCATGGATAAATTTGTCAGCATATCCGCTATGGCACGGGACGTTAACCTAGAACTGGTGAAAAACATGTAAGATGTCTATAACCTAGTGCTCGAGTTACTGAAGGAAAGCAAGGCCAATGCTGCAGTAAAGAATGTAAGAAGGATTGTGCACGAATCTTTACTCTAGCTATACATGCTTGCTAGTTGCAACTTTAGAGTATACCGTATAAACACATTGAGGAATGGAAGGTTTATTTTATCAGTGAAGTTGATAGTCAAGTGTGTGGTATAAGTAGGTACCAAATCAACCTCAAGGATCAGTAGTATGGAAGGTGGGGGGTTTAAGTGAAAGGGAAGGTCATAGGATTGGTGGTAAGGTGAGTCAAGGACCTTGGTTTTTTTATCAGGCAACGTAGGCTTATTTCTCAATCAACAAGATGGTTCCATGCACTCCCCTGCAATCCTTTTATTATCATATCTGTCAGCAAATCGTAAGATTCAGCAATGTACTTTAGGTACGGACTTAATCTGTGCCCTGATCAGTTCAACTTCATTGGGTATAACTTGGGTGGTTAAGGCGAAAGTTCTAAGAACTCCTATAACTAACAAGTTCTAAATGAGATGTTGCAATGCGATGAAACAGGGGAATGCTCAGACGAAACAAATGACAATCAATATTTAAGGTAATATCTCAACAATGTATGTCAGCAATAGAATAAAAGGGAACGTTTAGTCTGAGTAGATTAGGCTTGTGAATATGAGATTAAACTCATGTTTCGTGCTAGTCATCTTTCTATTTTTGGGGGTGTGAAAGAACTACACGGCTTGTCTCCTTGGAGATGTGCACATGTTTATCATCACAATGCTGATGAAAATCACTGGCGAATAGCTCCAAGAACTAGCTGCGTTATAGAGCATGGATATAGTCTATCACTATCGATTTAAAAAAAAATGCATTTTTCCTTCTGATTCTAGGTGTAACTGCGTCTTTGGCTGTCTATTCAAACCACAGTAAGGTGCGCTTAGAAGAAAAGGACAAAACAGGCTGATCCAACGTATTTAAAAATGATTTGAAGAGCCAATTTGTTGCATGCAGCGACGCATTTTAAATCCTCTGTAACAGAGCGAACGGCACACACACAAAGTGTACGAGTAGCATTTTTATTTATACCTGTTAAATTTTTTATATCTACCGCTTTCTTACAACTTGATCATTGTAACATCCCATATCATTAAGACTTGTTTTAAACGGACTGATGGATTGCTAAGCATGTTTACTTAATTGAATTCAAGATGTGGATGGGCTTGGACCTTCTTTAATCACCATATTTTTTAGTGATGTTCTTAATATAGACAAGTTTTTAGAAAAGGCTGGTAAATAAAAAACAGTAGAAGAACATTATAGAGATTTCTTCACATCAACTGAATCGCAATGTTTCAAAAATATATTGTACAGAAAGTCGTTATTCAGCTTATTATTTTTATGTTCTACTAGGCTGCTAGTAGTCTAGTACAACAAATTTCTGAGAAGAGATAGAGTCACTTTAATGGGGGTAAAGAAGTAAAAACTCAACTCCAGAATATTCTATCTTTGACTGTGACTCCGCCACTTTCCTCGGTTTTGGTTTTCTTGTAATCCAATGTCCACTTTTCAAATGTACACTCAGTAAAGTCGTAGTAACCCCCATGAATAGAGAGTTCTCCGGTGGCCACCTTTGTTTCTATCCATGGATATGTAAGAAGGTTTGATAGGGAATTGTTAACTGATTCCTGTACAAGTAACATTAATTGCATTATATTCAATAATGGGCAACAATAAATTATCCTAATGGACTCTATTCAACTAAATCTCAATGACAAAAAATAAACAGAGGCCATTGCTTGTCAAGGAATGCATAAAATATTTGTACGTGTGAAATGGATTAGGCTCAGGACCATATTATAAAGCAATGTTGAATATGGATTCTCTAAACTGTGGTTATATGTTTATTGGAACACTAATTATGGCATCTATGAGAGCACTCATGAAGTCCAAGCCTGATTTAATTTCATTGTAAGCTCTGAAAACCTTGATATAGGATCATTTCCCCAAAAATTAAAACTTCTCTAGCTAGAAGAATCTAAAATGAAGCCAAGGAATGGCATGCAGAAGAAGAAAGAAGTGTTAGAGGTCATATGTTCACCTGAATTACATTAGATAGAACTATAGATTGATTTCAAGGCTATTTTTCTTCACATCAAAAGGGTGTCTCACTCACCCTACATATGACATGATTTATCTAGCACTTTAGCCCCGTATAAGGACAATTCATTGTATTATTTGACATTTTGAAGGTTCCCGAAACTGGAAGAGATAAGGTAGATAATATTATTACCTTCTCACAGTGCCTGCACTTCTGGTCAAAGTTGAGAGAAGAAGCAGTAGCCTCGGTTTTTATTCTTGCGTTCTTCCCAACTACAACCCAGCTTTTGATGAAGCTAATAAGAAATGAAAAACATAACCAAGTCAGACATGAATCTCACATCACCAGTAAAAGGAAAATGACAGACTATATCTAGAATTATGTTAAGTGAACCTGGCATTTGCATCATCTTGCATACTCATAAGAGCACGAATTCCCCCACAGCAGCTGTGCCCAATGACTATGATATTCTCAACCTGCGATGGCAGAGGTTTTAATTCTTCCTCAAATAGAAGTATGAATGTCAAGGTATTGTGACCAGCAAACCTTACACATGCTTGCATGTTTAAAAAGTTAAATGAATTTTTTAATTCGAATTATTCTCCAGGTGTTTCACAGTTGGACACAACCCCAAGCTATAATAGCCTCATTTGTATTAAAAAAGCAACGGAAAACAAAATCTTTGGTCGAAATAGTTTCATCCGGTTTTGCTTTTAATCTTTATAATTTTTTTCAAATGTTTTTAATCCCTATAAAGGCTAAAACCACTGAAAAAATGAAAACTATAGGGACCTGAAAAATAAAGGTTACCTAATCTTTCTGAAATTATAGGGATTGGAGACACTGAAAAATAACTACAGAGACTAAAAACAAAATTAATAAAATTATAAGGATCAAAGATTGTGTTTTTTCAAAAAATAATTATATATTATCACATGTCAATAGATATTCAATTTGTCTATGCTTAAAAATACTCTCAATTATGCTAATAATGTTGTAGTGGTAAAGGAACATGCTAAACTTTTAAAATTTACCCTGCCACTCTCAAGATGCATTTATCATAAGATCAATAAGTATTGTGACCAACATCAGTTTTAACTCTGATGCTGATTTTGTCAATGGGTTATGACGGTGGATTGAAGTCTAATACTTATTGGTTGACCTAAATTGTACTTCAAAATTAGAGCTGATTCCATTAATTAGGGAAGCTAGACTTGTCGAAACAAACAAGCACATAAGTAAATAATTAACAGCCCAAAAAACATTGTAAATTATTAAATAATAACATTAAGACAACTCCCAAATAGAGACGATGAATCCTGTTTATACTTTGCAAGAAAAATGTGCTTACTTTAAGGGAATTCACAGCAAATTCTAACGCAGCATTTGTTTCAGAGGGTCCACTCTGAATCAGGAAAAAATGAGATTAGCAAGGCCATGTAAGTAGAGTTCAGTGACCATCCTAAAATAGTTGAGATAGACAGCCAAGATAAATCACTTTCAGTGGAAAATATACCTCAAATGGAGGTACCAAATTAGCAACATTACGAATCGTGAATGCTTCTCCTGGTTGAAATCCCAGAATATTAGAGGGGCAAACCCTTGAATCTGCACAAGCAATAACCATAAACTGTTCTAGAAATTGTAAGTCAAGGTTCAAGAGAACTATATTCAGCAAATGATTTAGTAGACGAATTGAAAGAGTAGACCAAGATGTTGCAGGGGGAAAAAAGAATAGGCGAAGAGGAACCAAAAAAGCAAACCACTAGTTATTAGACAGATAAAACATTAGCCAAAAGCAGGAGGTCACCTTCGGTGCCTGACCCGTGGCAAGATTTTGGAACTGTTCAATGTTTTTCCTGCCAGAAAACAGACCACATTGACAAAGTTTCTTCTCTTTTTGGGTATCAGAAGGAAACAATTGAACCAGGGTATTCTGAAACTTACAAGTAGTTATTCTTTTTAAAACTCAAAAACCTGTCCTTGATATCATTAAACATATCACGCCCATTTTTAGCCTCAGTTACAGTCGTCAGCCTCTTGTCTTCAAGTTGTTGAGTCAATCCTGAAGGCCCCATAGAAGCCCTTAAAGAAAAACTTCGAGTGCTCCTGCAAACAACAGAGCAACATGTGCTGCTGAGCTTCATTTCAACAAAAAATAAATCAGTTGGTATTTAGTACTTCTTAGTTTTACTCCGAAGTTCTGAGAGGTAGTCAGTTATTTTACCAAAACAAAATTTAATTAAGTATAATAAAATCTGCATCAGTGATAACTCAAGGCCACAAATCTTCATTTACTTTTTTAACATAATATTTTCGTGTAACAATGGGTACACTAAGGGTTAGAACTGAAAGGAAGAACAAATGAGCTCTCCAAGTTATTGTCCTCCCATAGAATAACTACCCAAAGCATCATCAACTTAATTCAAAAAACGGCAGTTTCAGATAAACTATTCCACTGTTCAACCATCAAGATTTACAAGACTTGCCGTGCAAGCGAAACTAACCTTGAATCCGACAACAATCTCAAACGGGGTTTCTCCATTTCCCCAGACTTCAATTTCCGACCAAAGATCTACCACAGAGGTTAGTGTAATTAGCTCTTCCATAACGAAATGGGCACGCAGGGGATCAATCAAAGAAGAGAAAATGACATACCTTCGATGAATTCGACACAAGCCCATGAAGGTCAGAACAGGAATTGGACGAAGAAGCAAGATGCTCCCGTGAAACGGAGATTGACGCTGGAAATGCCATTTAGAGAACTCTAAATCGGACGAGTTATCTCGCAGCAATGTCAAGTGAGAATTGAATGAAGCAGCCATGGAAAGGAAGAAGGCATTTAAAAAAGGTATGTTAAGTTGGTTGGTCCAGCAAATATGGATGTGATGTCTCCAAGAAAGGCGGAGAAACCAAAGCTTAAGCACGAGAGCAAAAGCGGCGGAATACATCAATTTAATTATCTATTATTTCCGAAGTTGACAGTTAAGACTTCAGAATCACCGCCAATTCTCCTGACACCCAAGAATTTCACGCTGACATTCAACAGTCTCCAGACACTTCGTACTATCTTTCGTAAGGGATTTCCTCCCCCCCTTTACCCAATTTACTTGTTTGTTTTTGAAACTAGCCTTCGCTACCCGTGCAATACATTATATGAATTTATTTATATTCAATTATAAAATATTTAATTTAAGCTATTCTTAAATAATTACTATAAAAGCTTTAAAAGTATCACTTTAATGTATGTTAAAATTGTAATGTTAATAGTCATGTCTTATAGTGATTACATATATTGAATTACATATAAAATGAAACATGTCTTCATTAATTTTAAAAACAAACACATGTTACATCAAATTTTTAAAAATCTCTCTGTAAACAACATTTGTTGTAGTAAATGTCTCATAGGGTAAGAGAATCTTCAAGCCATCTTTGCTTTTAACTCTTGATAGTGCTACATATAATTGACCGTGCGTGAAGACTGATTTTGGCATATATAATCCAACATTTTGCAATGATTGCCCTTGATTTTTGTTGATTGTCATTGCAAATGAAACAATAATAGGGAATTGTCTCCTTTGCATGTGAAAAGGCCATCTACTTTTTGAGGGATTCATGTCCATTCAATGAATTCAGACTTTCTCATTTTGCTTTGCACCATTCAAAGTTATGGCTTCTATGATATTTTTTCCAACATGAGTGGTACGTAATCTTGTGCCATTGCATGGACCAGAGGCTTGGTCTATATTACGGAGTGACATTATAGGAGTCCCAACCTTCAAGTGGAGCTTATGAGGAGGTAATCCAGAATAAGTTATTATGTTAAGAAACTCAGTACTATACAAATCATCAAAGGAATCACTATTTTCTGTTGACTTGCAAATGGCATCACAACTTAAAAACTCGGTAGATTCGCAAGGAAGTAAAGAGCATATGTAATCATTAACTTGATTAACAACTTCGATGGTAGAAGCAAGAATTGCTCTATCATTAAAATATTGAGTGTTAGATAAATTATCAAATAAATCTAGATAAGTATATGACACAATTGCTTCCATTGCATCGTCATATTCAGAAAGCAATAAATCATGAGGAACCTCTATCTTAGCTACATCATCATGTAGTTGGCCCAACTTCCCATCACCTACATCTAATAGCCATTGTGAAATTTTTTTTCAAATCTTCATCCTTATTATTTGAGGTTAATGGTGATAAACGCATATTCTTCTTAAGTTGAAAAATTTTGCAATGGTCCTATAAGGGTGAAGAACTAATGCATGCATTTACAATTGATGCTCTTGTTCCTTTTGGAATGATAGGAAGGATTTGGTGAAAATCATCACCCATGTCAACACATTTCCCACCAAATGGATAATTAGAATGCATTATATCCCTAAGTGTGCGGTCAAAGGCTTCAACACAATAGCATTACACTATTGGTGCTTCATCCCATATGATCAACTTTGCTACTTCAATTAAATATGCTAATGCAGAGTTTTGTTTTATGCAACAAACAGAGTCTTCAGTTATTTGTATAAGGATTACAAACCTTGAATGTGTTTTCCTTTCGGATGGCAATAAAGTTGCTGCAATTCCGCTTAATGCCACGGTCAAAACTATATCTCCTTTTGCACGAAGTGATGAAGATAATGCATTCGACAAGAATGTTTTGCCAGTGCCTCCACAACCATAGACAAAGAAAAATCCTCCTATTTGTGAAGATAGTGAGGACATGACCATATTATAAATACATCTTTGCTCATCATTGAATGAACTAATTGGCCTTAAAGCTTCTATATTCAAGGCATCTCGATCATAGTTCAATTCTTGTAGTATTAGATGGTTGGTGATTTCAAATATTAAAGCTTCTTGAGGTAATGGTAGGGATGGATAATCTTAAAGTAATCTCCCATTACTCTTTAAAAAGCAATCGATCTCACGTAGTGTAGCCTGTTCCTTCTCAAAGACTAGCATGTCAATTGCTGTAATGTATAAAAAAATTAAATGATTATTCATAAATATTTTGCAAAAACATTTTAATTGATAATAATTGGATTGAAAAACTTTTGAATTACCTGATAGGCTTTGATCATTTCTAGAGATATATAATAGATCTTCAGATAAAATTTTTGAAGTATTATTCCACACAAAGTCAGGACAACTCAAGCAAGAACATAGTAACATAGTCACAAACATTCTTCTCAATAATATTCCTGAAGCCCAAGTCGCAGCTTCATGTATTGTATTTATGTATTCACTATCATCATCTAGTAATCCTAATACAAAGCAAGCATCTTTGAATGTTTTGTGGACTACTCCATTGACAGTTTTAATGGCATCATATGAAGAAGGGCCTCTAACCTTTGTCAAAAGAATTCTAAGACAGTATAGCTCTCTAGACGATGGAGTTACATGAGTAATCCTACCAATAATAAAACCACGTTCCCTTCTTTTCCAAGATCGTTTTGATCTTTGATAAACATAATGATAAGGGAACTCAATATATGTAAGTGTTTGGGCAACTTCATCCTATTCATTCCTTTTCATTGAAGCTAGAAACTGTGACTTACATACTCTCTGTTTATCCAACAATTCAGTTACATCATCATCGTTAGAATAAATGATAGATTGTTGATTGGGGAAATGAAAGCATAATCTCTCAATAGAAGGAAATTTGTGATGTATGTCAAAACCAAATATATGCCAAGATCCCTCACATGCAGATATGTATCGACAATTATAGTATTGTTGAATCTCATCATGATTGTCATATATTATAGCAACCACCCTATCATTTCCTTTGCTTATGTACTTAAATAAGTACTTAATGGATGTAAATTGATTACATTTCTCTACATTAATATGTGCTTGGTACATGCCTAAAAGCGTTGGATTATATGGCACAACATATCTATTATCAAGAGGAATACCTTTGACTTCAATGGTTTGACCATCATCCCTTCTTCTGTATGTAGGATAGCCATCATTATCAATTTGTGTTGTGTCATTAAATTTCTTTGGGAAGTATTTACTACACTTCTTATCTTGCATATATGGTGATTTTGGATTGCTCTTCCCACAAGGACTATAGATCATAAATTTCTTTACCAGTTCATGCAACAATGGTGATGATGTTTTGTTTAGAATTTCAGCCAAAATAATTTTGTCAACCTCAATTGCATCTATTATTTTGTCTCTTTGATCCATGAATAAGAGAATGTGTGCATGAGGAAGTCCTCGCTTCTGGAACTCAATGGTATATACTTCTACAAAAAAAGAAACGTAAAAATGTAATGAAGTGAGAAGAAAATTTATGATTCAAATAGCATATGTCAGAGTTTAAGACAATAAAATTTAATATATTATTATATTCAAATGTAAGAATATAAATGTAGTAGGCAATACTTAAGTTTTGAATTCTAACCTACTTTACCCATTCCAAAAATTTTCTTCTCCTTAATGGTCTTCATCAATGATTGTAATTTTAATTTAAAGATTCTACACAATATTTCTGGATGATCTGAAGGAGATAAAGAATGTCTCTCACAAAATCTAGTAATTTATGGCCAAGCAGGATTACATGTGAATGTCAAAAAGATATCTAGGTACCCAGCCTAACGACAAATAGCCATTGCGTCTTGGTAATTTTAAATCATGTATCTAGCTCCACCAGTGAAAGACGAAGGCAAAATTATTCGTCTTCCTGTACAATTCGCATTCCTTTCACCGTTGATTAAAGCATCCAACAAACCTTGATATAAATTAACCCGTAACTCCTTTTTGATGAGTCTTCACCCAAAGTAATCTTTGTGATTCAGTCATTGTATAACCATCAACTATAAATTACTGGAATAATCTACGTGCATGTAGCAATGATGAGATTTCATTAGCCCGTGTTATGAGTCGAAATGAGAAATATTCCCTTATGCTAACCTTTTTTTTTCTTCTTAGTTGAGCTGAGAATGTCTTTATGGTGATTAACATCATCCCTATGTCCATCCTCACTAAGTGGAAATAGTATGGAATATTGAAGAGGGATGTGAGATGGATGTAACTCATTTATACGTTGGGGTGATCCTGAGAACTCTTCAACAATAATATCTCTTCTACTAAAATCCATATCAATGTCACCGACAACCAATGCTGCAACCTCTGATGCTGTAGGAAGATTATATGTATGACCATCATGTTTTCGAGTGCTAATCAAGTACAACTTAAATTTTTTATGCTCCTTACTTCTTAATAATGATGATGCAGTCCTATATTGTAGCACGAAAGAATTTACTTCATCCAAAACATCCTTTATCTTTTGAACAATTCATGTGTCAATGCTCAATGACTTTTGATGATTGCTGCATCAAATTATTAATCAATTAATATTAGTTTTGTGATTAAATTAAAATTTGGAAAATTATTCAAATAACTAAAGTTTGAGAAGTACATACCTTACAGCAAAGATTCTATTTGCAACTTCATTTTCAGTATCATAGATGTATAACTGTGAGTAAACTGGTTTAACTCCTTTTGGTGGCAATAGACTTCCAATCATATGATAATTCATGCCTGATATTCCAAAGGAATAAGGCCTACCATCACTGTTAATTGAATGATTAACCCTTCCGCCCATAGATGTAAAAGGGAACATGTTGTTATATTATCTTATATTAGCATGGAAATTCTTTGACTCATTTGACTTCTTATCAAATAATAGATGACGTAAAAATTTTGGTGGTGTATGCATGGTTGGTAATACAACTTTTCCTTTACAGTAACTAAGTGAGAATGACAAGTTTGTACAAAATTTATCTTTCTTAACTCTTCCATTAAACCATAGCTAAGCTTGGCAACATTTGCATGTCTCTATAAGATCTCCTTCATCGATATACACTGCATATGATGATAGCTAGGAATTTAAGTCATTCATCAACATAAACTACATGTCATTACTTTTTTTTTATATTTTCTATTAGTAATGAAAGAAGAATAATTAATTTAATTAAGTGTAGGTTTTAATTGATGAAAG